TCCCTCCCACCCACTGCAACTGCTTCCTGCACTCCGACAGCAGCATACACTTTATTTACACATTCTGAGATAAATGCCCCTTCACAGGGAATCTGCATGTTGTTGCAAGACTGGGTTTGGACCCAATCTGGCTAAGTTTTCTGGATAGCCAAAGGACATTGCGGGATTTAATCATAGAATTGTAGAGTTGGAAGGGGTCCCCCCCCAGGGTCATCTAGTCCAACCCCCTGCAATGCAGGAATCTCAACTAGCATCCAAGTTTACAAATAGTCTTTTAGCTTGGAACTGATGTGCTTGGAAGATACAGCTGCGACACTCCATCTCGCTTTTAACAAGATAGTCTTTTTAGCTGGACTATGTGCCAAGATACACACTTGTTACTCAGGAAAGCCTTGAACTTATGCAGGCTTTTGCATTACCAAAGAAAGCAAGGGAACTGTTCTCTTTCATGACATATCTGCAAAACAAATCCTGCTATTGAGATTCCTATGAAACTACACAAAGTTCAGATTGCTCAACTTCGTTGTTTTGGTCTGTTTCCACATATATTGAGCATTCTTTGGAGATTCACAAAAACAGCAGGATCTCAGGAAAGCAACGAAATGGATTCCTGCTGTGGGCTTCCCTCTGTTGTCCAAAAAAAGAAGTCAATATCTCTTGTGTCAATATTTTGAAATATAGTTACATTTATTTTGGGTGAGCTACAGAGAATTCATTGGGATAAGCTACATTTAATGGCTTTATTAATGTCTTCAGCAGTTAAAAGACTTATGATGTTTTCAATTATGTAAAAAAGATGTAAAGACTCCAGTTTTTCTCATGAAGCAAAAATATTACAGGGAAAATGTATCATACAATGCCAGTTTAATGTTCAATATCACCCAGAAGCCTGCCCCTCCCACCCCCAAAATATTGCTTTTAAGGCTACAATATTATGCACATTTTCCTGACAGGCAATCCCCATTAAATACAGTGGGGCTTACTTCTGAGTAACATGCATAGATCAGTAGCAGGACAGCAAAGCAGAAGAAACAGCTATGGCTGATGCCAGAGGCCAGTCAAACACCAAGACCTGGAAACCAGTAAACAGCTCACTGAGCTGGCTATGCTACCATTTTAATTTTGCATAGGATTCCTGGCAAAGCCAGATGTCGTGTATGTCTTTCTCTTATTCTGGCCTTCCCAGGAGCGCAGCTGAGAGAGAAGAACCTGTCTGTTTTCTCCTCCATTTCTGCAGTGCACAGATGAGTTGCCATTGAATAGCTGAATGCAGAGGAGTTGTGCGGGGAACCCCTCTAGGGAACCCCCAAGGGAAGAAGGCTCCGAGCCAGGGGATTGGTGGTGGGAAGACAATGTGTGGTCAGACGGAGGAGAAGACTGGGAGGAGGAGGTGTCAGTGGCAGAAGAGGTGACAAGGTTTAGTGAACCCAGGGTTTAGAAGCTGTGGCAGAGCAGCTCAAACTGACTCTGAAGTGGAGGCTGGAGGGGAGAGTGGCCAAGAGGGAGAGTTGAGGTTGCTGATGAATCCAGGGAGTCTCCCCCTCTGCTGAGACCTCTCCCTCCTGGTCTACCAGAACACGCAGAGAAATCAAAAGAGCAGAGATTGATTGTGCACAGACACAGTCTCAGATTGCTTGGGAAATAACCTGGAGAGGAGGGAAGTCAGTCCTCGCAACTTCCTCATTGGGGCAAGACTTGCTGGGAAGAGTTGTTGGGATCACTAGGCTTGCTCTGTTTTGGTTTCTTTGAATTAAGCGTTAACTTACCTGACATTGTGTTTTTTATCGCTGACCTACATCTGACTCCGGCTCCTGACAGTATGTGAATTTTACCTTTATAGTAGGCTAGCTTCTATACACATCCATCTCAATCTTCAATCTAAGACAGCAAGAAGCATCAGAGTTCAAGGACACATCCCAGGCAGGAAAAATACTGGAGGTACAAAGCAGGGCTGTTGAGGGGTGTGGCTTGGGGAGATCCCAAGGACCTAACAGCCCTGGAAGGCCCCATTTTCTTCTGCAAGGCCACCAGATGTTAGTGGACTACAGCTCTCATCACTGCCTACCGCTGGTCATGCTGCTTGGGGCTGATAGTTCAGCAACATCAGGAGGCCCACAGGTTCCCCACTCCTGGTTTAGTGTTTCATGCAAAACAGGCCGGTGTTAACTATAGTACAAATTAATGTACTAAGGCTGAATTCCTATACTTGGGAGTAAATCCTTATAAACTCAGCAGGATTATTTCTCAGCAGTCATGCATAGTATTTCACTGCACTTCCCCTTATTTGGAAGTAAGTTTCATTGCACTCGGCAAACATTTTGGAAGGAGAAAGTGTTTTGACACTAAATGCTATCTTGTCCCTTTTTGCAAAGTCAAATTTTCAAGATTTAATAATGCATGTTTTATTGTGTTATGACCTCTTGTTTGTATATAACATGTCTGCTCTTAAGTCTGTGAGGTTTTATTTTGGGCAGGATCCCTCCCTCACCTCAAAAAAATGTTTATTTATCTCATCAGCCCAGTGTCCAAGCACATAGTGCTACCCCTCAAGGGTCAAAGAAACCATTCAGTGGAGTTGAGAGGACTGGCCCATGTGCAGTAATTCATGGGTTCATTTTAGACTTCCGGAGCTAGGCTCTGTCACAAACAATAATTATGCCTGTCTGAATTGTGCCAGCTATCGCTTAAACTGTTTCGACTGGTTAAACACAAGAGCCTTTTGAATCATTTAGAATCCGGCAGAGCCAGAATGGCTGTATCAAGATTCCAAGAGGAGAAATATATATTTTTAACTCCGTCTATGGCTCTTTTTGTTCAAATTCATTCAGCCTAGTCACTTCTAATTTAAAATGTACTTAATGGGAATCAAGCTGAAGATTTTAAATTAATCCAGTGAAACTTTGCTAGATTGGTAATTAAAATGACATGTTAGGATATATTAAAGAATGTAAGATTAATACACTTACACTTGGAACTTCTGGTATGGTACTAAAAGCTACCTTTCAAGAAGCTGAAATGCAGCATAATTGATACAATGCCTTTTATTGAACCACCTAGTCTATAAACCTGGAAGAAAGCATTTGAACTCCATATTTTGAAGTAAGTTTAGGTGTCCAAAGGGGTGGTGGTAGGGAATAATATAATGTTTTATGCCAAAGCAATCTTCTGTCCTTGTTGGAGGAAATTAGGTCACAAGCTCATTCACAATTTGGCATGCTGGGGGAAGAAAATCAGCAAACTGATAATTTAACTTTGTTTTGCTTCCAGTGCAATTTGGTTTGAGGTGCAATCCTAGGCACACATACATGAAATAAGTTCACCTGAAGTGTGACTTTGGAGTAAACATGGGTAGGATCAGGCTGTAGGGATCCAGGTAATTTGTAATGCACTTAACATGTAGCTGTAGATCTTTGGTAGGCAGTGCTGCTTTCAAATGGCAAGTGGTGGGATATTTTATTGAAAGCTCCTCCACTTGCAGTTCCAACACAGAAATGTAGAATGTCAGAGAGGCGGCTAGTAGGCCTGGGCAATATATGAGGAGCAGAATGTGATGTTGGCTTCACTTGGCGGTATATCATTGGTGAAACAGCCACCACTCCCGAGTCTCTCTGCTAGCAGTGTCCATTAGAGTTCCTTCCGCCAGTGAGGCGCCGATACAGCTTGTTCCTCCCTCTGCATCCTTTTTGGTGAGGGCTTCATGAAGCTGCTCAGCTGAGGGTGGGGGGAGCACCGGGGCTGTCTCAGCTGGGGAGGGGGAACCTTCCTGATCCCCAGCTGATCTGCACAAACAAGCTGTGTTGCCCCGACCTGTTAGTGCCTGGGTGAAACCAGTTCCCAAGGTGGGAGCTGGGGCCGTTTCACCAGGTGCCTGGTGCAGGCCAATGCAGCTTGCTTTTTCAGTGCCGTGGTGTATTGACAAACCGATGTTTGGCTGGCGATATTGTTGAAAAGCTGATATTGCCCAGCCCTAGTGGCTAGACTATAACCTTCTTCCTGACATCTACTTAGAGGGGATTTTTCAAGATGGGGGCTTTCAGCTCCCCCTCCCACTTAAACAGCAAACCTGCCCACTTCCGTATCACTGAGAAACAGCTTTTGAAACTGAACAAAGCTTCAAAAGCAGTTTGAACAGCACATCAGGTCAGGTTAGCATATCTGAAGGTTAAAGATTATACAGGGCGATCACAAGTCCCTTGAAGGATACCAACCGCTTCTTAGATCCCAGCAAAAGCTTTTACAGTTATGTGCAGAGGAGAGAGATGACTGGTTGTGATCTTTTACTGTTTGCTTTTTTACGGCTTTGTTGTCATCACTGTGTTATTTAATTTCTTTAAAAGAAGTAGTGCTGTGTATTGTTTTATAGATTCTGTTTTGTTCTCTCAAAGATGTAGGCCATGGAAAGTTTCCAGCCCAGCGTGGGGCTGACTGAGTTCTGTCCTCAAAGCTGCTGAGGATGGAACAACAGATGGGAGGTTGGGAAGACGCATTTTGTTGGCACAGGCTAGAAGTGGCAGTTTATCATTGATTTAAAAATATTTTTGACAATCAAGTGGAATATAAATGTTATGAAATTAAAAAATTTAAAAAATTAATGGCATGGACACAGATGATTGTAGTATGGGCTGTGGATATCCTGTCTACAGAAAAATTCCCTTAAGTTCAGTGGTAAAAAGAGGATTCCTGTGCCACTCTAGATACAGGGACCACCAGGAACATTTAGTCTTTAGCCTAGTTGTTGCCTTTAAGCATAATAGAGAACAGCTGACATTCTTGTCTATGTGAGAAGATCATAGACTCATAGAAGTGTAGAGCTGGAAGTGCTGCACTTGAGAACAACACTGCAATGGGGCAAAACTTATGTGATGAACCTGCCTCTGACCAGGTACTGGCTTTCCATTTTTTCTTCTGCTTTCTGCTTTGGTTTTAATAATTGAATTTTATTATATTACCTTTTATTTGTAACTACTTGATAGTTCATCATAGAAATGACAAGTGACATATAAATTCTCAAAATAAAATATTCTTTGAAATGAAAGGCAGTACAGAAATGTTACTCCAAAAAGCAAGGGTAAGTAAGGATATTAAACAATAACACAGATTCCTAATACCTCTAGTTCTGAGTCATCGAGTTAACTGCAAAGTTTATCAAATATATCGGAGAGTTTCTCATTAAACACCAAAATTCACCTAGACCACCTTCATGTTTGAACCTTATTATTAAGTATAAATAAAACAGATGCCTCAGCTTCTATGAACACAATTCCATGGAACAGAACTGCAAAGCCATTGGGTGGGGAGCTCCAGAAGTCATCCTACCTAACCCACTTGGTTTGGGGTAGAAAAAAAATAATAGCATATAACTTTCCAAGTACAAGCTATTGTTTCCCAATGCAGCAGTTAATTACAATTAATATTGGGAGACAATTATCTATTCCAGTTACCTTCTGTTACCATTGCCCTAATTAAATATGCTATCGTCCACAAAATGAAGGTTTACTGTACATTCCAAATACACTTAAATCATACATAAGCGCCACTCATTTGTACCCAGGTAGAGCTTACCTTTGAGTAAACATGTGTAATAACGCTGTCAAGTTCATTTTCAGGGAAACATAAGAACAGTACAATTCTTTATGCACTTGCTCAGAATTAAGTTCTATCACAGTACTCTCAGGTAAGTGGGTATAGGATAGCCGCTTAAATCTTTTCAAAAAGAACTTTAAATATGCCTCTTACATAAACATCAAAATTAAGAGATTTAGAAATGAAGCCCACAAAGCATCTTTATTATTTGAGTATGTATCAACATCAAATTTAAAATGTGATTATCTCTCAGATAAGTAGCGCAGCTGCCTGCAATATTAAAGTAATGCCCTTGCAAAGTAAGCAAGTGCTCCAGGCTTATACTTGTCTACTCAGAAGTTAGCCCCACCAAATTTAATGGGGCTTACTCATAGGTAAGTAGAGGATTTCAGCCTTAACTTTACTGCAATCTGTATGTCATGTCATAAGCATTGGTTTGCTGTTCATTCTGATGTAACAGCTTTCAAAAGGTGGTCAGACTAGGTGTCATAGGATATAATTTTGTCTCCATTTCCACATATGCTTTCCCCCCTCATAATGAAACTACTAATCAGGCTTTTTTTAAAGTACAAAACACTAAACAGTGTAGTAGAAAAATGGACCACAACTAGATCCATAAATATCTAGGACAGCAGTACCACCAGTCCAAGACGTTTTTGACAAATGAAAAATACTGAAGTACGTTATAGAACTAATTACATTCCATCAGTGCATCATTGCACTCTTCATATTACTATCTCCTCTTCAGCATGGAAGGTTTTCTTTATGTTCATTGTCTCTTTACCACTGCATTTATAACAAACAGGTAGTAAACAGTGGCAAAATAAATGACTCAAAAAACATCATTTCCTTTATATCTTCAGGTAATTCCACCTAAAACAAACTAAATCAAGATTGCTTCAAACATTCCATCCTATCCTCTGGAACAAGCTGATGATAGCATTTTCAAAAATTAATCCACTCACAATAGCCACCAGGCAAAGTTTTCGGCTTGTATTCAAGGTAACTGCAAAAGAAAGGAAAAATCACATTTCTAGTTAATATGTGACGGCTATGTGAATAAAATATGCAGGACTGGGAACAGGTAGTGTTAAACATTATCACAGGTGCAAACTAATCATTTAAGCAGGAGTGGGCAACCTTTGTTCCATCAAGGGCTGAATTCTTTTGGAGCTAATCTCTCAAGGCTGCATGCTGTGGGGGTCAGGACTTATCACCCCCCATCTATTAATACTATCACCACCCAAAACCTCCCTCCCTCACATTATCCCTCCCCCTCCAATCTCTTTCTTTCTTTCTTTTCTTTCTTTCTTTCTTTCTTTCTTTCTTTCTTTCTCTCTCCCTCTCTCTCTTTCTCCCTCTGCCACCTCACTTTTGCCTTCCAAGGGACCACAACTGCACTAAGGGAAAATGGCACAATTTTGGCCCAGCATTCCTTTCTAGTAATCTAGTCATTTCTGTGAGATCTTTTGCAACCCCGTTCCTTCTCAGTGATCCAGCCTTCATCATTATTGCCAGGAAAATGAGAAAGAGGCAGTCCAGACTGACCACAAAGCACAGTAGAAAGAGTGTCTTTCCAAAGGACACTGTACTACTCTACCTACCATGCTTTGCGGTTTGGCGCCTGCCTCTCTTTTGTTCTTTTTTTGTGGCAATTAGATGTTTATGAAAGAACTGAATTACTTGGGGGGGGGGTGAAGAAGCAACACTGTCCTTGTGCCACCAGCTAGATCACTGGGAAGGAACCCACTTTTCCTGAAATACTGCATCAGTGATACAGAACACCTCTATACTTGCTAGAACAGACAAGGGCAAACAGACTGGTTTACCCAAGTATGGGATGTAACGCATATGAACAAACTAACATAACAGTACATGTTCAAGGCAAAAGGAAAAACTGTTATTCCTTTGGAATATTGTGCAATTATTATTGTAATGTCAGTCTTGCTAGAGTCAAAGATTAAGCTTTCATTCTTTGCTATCTTTTGCACACTGTACAGATTTCACATTTATTCAAGTCTGCTGTCAGGCACTCCAATCTCTCTTTCTAGTTTCCACTCTCTGAATAAAGTTTCCTTCTTTGATGTTTTACATCTTAATGCTGAATGCTTGCCTCATGCAGTCAAAACCATGAAGATGGGGTGGCACCTCTATGTCTGGGCTGAACAAATGTCCCAATCCTGACTTGCTTTACAACTTACTGTTCTACAAGAGTAAAATTAGGAATACCTCTAATTGCTTGCGAGTTTGAGGTCAAGACAAACACTTTAATGAGCAAGAGGCACAAATGAGTATAGTCATGTTCCCAAATAACAGCTGGAATCAACAGAAGTTTTCCATAGCTGGATAGCAGCAATGCTTTCAGAAGAAAGGTGAAATCTGCCTTGGTTGTCAGGACTACAGCTCTTGCTAGCCACAAAGCGGTGAAGATGCCAATCAAAAAGGCAGTTTGTTCTGAATGAGAGAAGAGAGAGAGAGAGAGAGAGAGAGAGATATTAAGGCATTTATTAAACAGTTAGTCATTAGAAGGTATACCAGACATTTTACTACATAAATTCGCTATGTGCCTTTAAGTAGTTTTCTGTGGAAAAGAGTACATTTTGGATTGGATTAGATGTAGCAAGATGTATGTATGACATTTGTTAGTTACTTTACCTTGCTCAAGGCAACTCAAAGCAACTTACAAACAAATGAACAAAAAAACCCACGTAGATACATTAAAGCCAGTTGCGGAGGGGCGGGGGAAACCCCAACAACTTCAGAGAATGAGCAGAGTCATGGGGAAGGAGGCAGTCCCTAGGCACCATGCTTTGTGGAAGTTTAAGATGTGATAACCAACACTTTGCACTGTGCTTAGAAATGGGGAGCTAGGCATGACTAAAATCAGAAATGGCCAGAAACAGGCACAATTGACACACCAGCTGGAGCTGGGCAAAATTACTCCTGGTCACACAGTCACTGAATATCCAGGAGCAAAGCTGGGCCCATGAGCACTCCCAAACTATGAAACTCATCTTTCAAAGGGAGCACAGCCCCATAACACCTCTGTCTTTCCAAACTGAGTTTCAGCTTGTTTGCCTGTATGTATGTAGATTATCAGTAACCTCAAGGAATGGTTCAAAGCCTCCACACCCTCCCTGTGAAATGTTAAGCTGATATAGAGAGCTGCATACCATTCACACACTAGTGACAACCAACTTCAAACTTCTGGGTAACCTCTCCTATGAGTTTTAAGGTGGATATTAAAGAGCATAAGGCACAGCCTTGAACCCTGTTAGACACCACCAGTCATCCCAGTGCAGGTCAACCCACTACTGAACCACCACCTAGTTCTGCTCCCCATCACAATTTTGCAACTGGCTTCAAATGGTGGCTCCTGGGATTGTAGTGGGAAAACAGTAGAACTGGAAGCCCGAGACTTGCTCACCTCAATGCAGGTAGTAATTGTTCCAATTTGAAAGGAGTATGAGAAACAAGTAATTTTCACAAGGCTAATCAAGGGGCTTTGGGCTGAAAATGGATTTGGGCTCTGTCTCCCAGACCCAACCCCAACATTCTCTGCTGTAAAATACTTGCACTCACAAGTGCCCTGCAATACTTTTTCATACACCATTCAGATTGGTGGAATACTATCAATTCTTGATTGTTGACCATCCTCCAAGCAGATTATGTGAAGTCAAGTGAGACATTATGAAAAAATAAACTAACAATACAACACATCCATTGTACACTAATAATTACAATGCATTCAAACCAGTTTAAAATGTTTAGATAAAAAGAACCTAGAAAGAATATTTGGAGAAATGACAAATTATACTGGATCTTACCCAGAGACGCTATCCCAAACATTCGATAAAAATCCCATTCCTTGGCATATCTAATTAAATCATCAGGTTCAGTGCTTTGGCTTGAATCCTGTAACTGCAACCATCTGATATAAGCCTCACAAAGCAAACAGAATATGCAAAGCTTCCCATGAATCTGAAATATGAAATAGCATTAGTTTCAGAGGCCCATGGACATCAGGCATTTAACACTATTGTTTACCATTACAAACTATGTTGTTTTTTGCAAGTTTTATTGATGTTAGATGCATAAGTCATCATAGAAGTCAGCTGTCTCATACTAGAAGACGCAGAATGGAAAAAGGAAAGACTGAAGGAGCCTAACTGAGGGCTGCCTCCACAGAGATGTGATGGTGCACACATCTTTCCTATCCAGGGACTTGCAACATACATATGGAAATGCACTGACTGCAAGAATAACTAAATGTTACTTGGCTCCTAATCAGACTTCTGAATAACAGAACATCTTCCAGAGCACTGCTACACACTGTGCTGCCCAAGGAGCTCAATTATTATTCATTCAGTTAATATGTTATATGGGCTTTAGAGTGACTTTCAAGAGTTCTAATTGTTTTTTGCCATGGTGGGGAACAGGACAAGACAAAACTTCCAGAAAAGGATGCAAGCTGAAGTTAATATAAGTACTACATGGAAAGGAAGAAGGAAAAACCAGTTTCACACAAAATATTTTCATTATGCCTCTCATAACTTTCTAACAAGAACTGCATATCTTACACTAAATTAAGATAAGAAGGGAAAGCCCCCAGGAACTTACATTTATCTTCGTATTGAACAATATATGTCTATAAGCCTGTGCTTTGCATAAGATAGCATTAATTAAGATGATAACAGGATCATATTCTATATACTTGTCCACTGGTTTCTGACAGGATTTCTGAAAGCAACAGAGCAAGAGCAAGTTAAAAACATCACACAGTAATATTGCAGTGATATAGATACCATTAAAGCTCTTGATGTAGCCTCATTTTCAGTCTAATACAACAAAAAAATTCATCTGAAAATGCTGCCTTGATAGCAAAATATTTATACCTTCACAATTCATCCAACCATAGTGTTGGGTATGGTGCATGTTTTTGACTCAGCACACCAAGTTGCAGTGAACTGCCAGACATAGAAAAATGCATAGAAGCTCATAAAATATTACCACCAAGGCTGTCTATTTTTATCCACATGAACAGGAATTTACATTTCAATATTTCATCATACACTGTTGAAAGACAGATATTTTAGGCTTAATTCTATACTACTTATTAGATCGAAACAGAGTCATGAGGTATACAAGATGATCTGCAAGGACCATAAAAATATCTGCAAGCTTCTTTGAGTCCCTGTCAATGAAAAAGGTGGGGCATAAATTGATGATGATGATGACCCAGTCCTTCAATGCTTGGCACAGATGCATTCCAGAATTTCAGTAGTCATAGCCCATGGGGCGATGGTGTGTTGTAGCAGCAGCAGCACTAAAGACAAGCTTAATGTTACTAATTATTAGAAAGGGACTAAAAAATAAAATAGCAAATGCAAAATTCATATTATATGCCTGTGGTATGTTCACATACAGTTAATCTGTTCCCGATACCATCATCTCAAAAGTATTGCTGAGCTGGAAAAGACTAATAAAGGCAGACTGATAGAGGCTCATAAAATTATGGACGATGGAGAGAGAATGTATAGAAACAAATTATTTTCCCTCTCAGAACAAAAGTCTGTGTTCTTCAGTGAAATTGGCTGGGGTCCACAATCACCAAGTAGCTAGCAGTGAAAACTATAACTAGTGACAGATTATACTGCCATGTATACACTATGACTGGAGTATCTACATTCTAAAAAAACCACCAGCAACAAAGCATAGCAGACAGTAATTCCCCCCTCCCCCCAATTAGCAATAGAGTGCTCTTGTACTGGAATTTTTTATTAGTGTCACGTGCTGGAGGAGAAGGGTTGTTACAAACCCCAAATGTGTATATACTGCCCAACGTTCTAAAAACTCCTTGCCAGGCAATGATGATGCAGAAACATTATATTTGCCTCCTTGCATCAGGAAGCAAGGACGCTTCACCAGTAACTAGAAATAATGGTTGGCTGCTGTATTGTTGTATATAAACTCATGACCGTATCACAATGTACACTGATAGAAATAATTTCTTTCTGGTGGTATTGCTACTTACTAAAATTTTCTTTGACAAAGATGTTAAATTGCACCCAGCAAAATAGAAAGAGACACTTGTTACCTGAAAATGAAAAGTATGTGCCAACAGCAAGAACAATCAGTCATATCAAAGCATTCATGTTCATGCAAAATTTATAAAATCTGCCAACTTCTTTTATGCAAGCAAATACTGGATTTTATATACTTTCTGCTGAAGGAATTGCTTTTGTCCAGAAGACAGATAACATGTAGCAAAGGCTATAAAACAGCACCTCCATTTTAGTTTTTATGTGAGGAAAATACATTTTTCTAGTGGTTAAATGATAATAAAATGCTGCCAAAGGACAGTTTGACATTGAAAAGATGTGACAGTAGTTAAAATGTGTTTTATTACCATCTTTCAGTGCAGCTTCTTTTATCTAGCTTTCCCATCAACTACCTTGACTGCCAGTTATATTAATAAAAAAGTGAGCTTTACATCATGCTGTAAGCCTTAAGGACATCCAGTTTGCAATTTATATTATGGTATGTACTGAGCAGGACCTCAGCTAGCTAGGTTCTACCCTTTCCCCCATCCAAATAAGAGCTTATCAGCCTCAACTTAGTGTCCACACTATTCCCCATTTTCAGAATGGTGGATCACTATTGGGGAGATGCTTAAGTGGTTTTAAACTTGTGCTCTGAAGATTCTTCAGTGATTAGTTAGCTATTGCTAACTGGCACATTCTGGAATTTTCTGCTATCGGAATATTGTTCGTGTTCTAGGCCAAAACCTCATTCCATGCAAAAAATCAGCAAATGCCAACAGACCAGGACAGCACCTATGTTTCTGCCTCCTCTGCCAATGTTTCCCTTCTCACTGTAGACAATTAAGAAAGGATATGAGGGGAAAGCCCCTCCTATAAAAACTCCTATTTTTATTACTATTTTGCAACCCATTCTTATGTTGTCTGAGCTTGTTTCCCTGTTACTTTTTTATTCCACACCACATACTGGGACTTAGAACACTTCATAATGGTCATCATGACAAATATATAAATATATTTAAATGCCATCATAAGCCTAGCCATACAATATTCTTAAATACATTCTATTTCAAATTTTATTATTGCTTGGTGTTTTTAGACCACAAGCTGCACTGAAGTTGATGACAGTGGCGTAGCGTGGGTTGTCAGCACCCGGGGCAAGGCAAGTAATTTGCGCCCCCTAACCCGTGGAGAGTGAGTGAGCCAGGTAGGGGCAGAGAGCTGCGAGTGCGAGCGCGCCCCCCCAGATGTTGCGCCTGGCCCCCCTGCACCCCCCACGCTATGCCACTGGTTGATGATGAGATGAGAGTCATTTGTTAAGCGGCATACAATACAGGGAAAGCAGAGTGTTAGAATGTTTGGGTGAGGAAGATCCAGAAATAAAGGAATGTACAGGAAACAGCCAGGACAGCAGGAATACAAGACAGAGGAAATACAAGAAAGAGCAGAGTAAGAGGCAAGATCAAGAGAAATAAACTGATACCCTATTTGCACCATACATTTACAGCTCTATTCTACCACTTTAAGTAGTCATACCTTTCCTCAAATAATCCTAGAAGTTGTAGCTTGTTAAGTGTTCGGAGAGGCAACCCCCATTTTCCTTAAAAAGGTAAAGGTAAAGGGACCCCTGACCATTTGGTCCAGTCACAAATGACTCTGGGGTTGCGGCGCTCATCTCGCTTTACTGGCCGAGGGAGCCGGAGTACGGCTTCCGGGTCATGTGGCCAGCATGACTAAGCCGCTTCTGGCAAACCAGAGCAGTGCACGGAAGCGCCGTTTACCTTCCTGCCTATTTATCTACTTGTACTTTGACGTGCTTTTACAGAGTTACAATTCCCAGAGTGCTTAAACAATCCAATTATCTTCCCCGGGGAACTCTGGGAACTGTAGCTCTGTGAGGGGAATAGGATGTTCCAACAACACTCTGAACACTTAAACTGCAGTTCCCAGGATTCTTTGGGGGAAGCTATTACTGTTTAAGGGGGTATGATACTACTGTATTTTTAAATGTGCTGTACAGATGGGGAATATATAAGGATACAGAAAGGTAGGAGTTTTAATTTCTGTTATTAACTTTCTGCACAAATAGTTCATCAAGAGTAAGACAATATTTTCAGACCCTGAGAGGCAGATATTTGTTTAGACAGCTCTTAACTACAGCTAGGTTCATAGAGAAAATGTGCACAAGTTGCATAGGTTTCTTTTTTTCTTTTATTTTTTACAAAGTTTTGATAAAGAGGCTCTCTATGTTCATGGTATGTGCCTTCAAGCTCTACAGAAGAAAAAGCCAGTGTCATCTCTACCTTAGAAACTTGGTGTTCAAAGTGCACAGTGCTGACAAGCAACACAACAAAATTCCTAAAGTAACAGGCAGAAAATGCTAAATGGCAGCATCAGATGCCATGAGAAGTACAAGAGGTAAGTGAAAGGAAAGCACAAGGCATAGGCATCCTGAAGCCCCACAAATCTAGCTAGAAAGATGTCCATAGATGAGTAGTACAGCAAGGGACAAGACAATTTGAAGATCCTTTGCTTTGCTAGACAAAATGAGCTGCAGTTTATATTAAATTTTATTTCTAAAAATGTTTGTAGTCAAGACAGATAATGAAGAATGCTTGGATAAAAATTCATTGCAACACTCATCCTTTGGGAGGTAGAAACAGGAAAGAGTTAAAAGAAAATAAAAAGAGAAAGCCAATTAGCCAGGCGCTTGATGAGCCTGAAACAGAGAGATGGACTAAGGACATGTTTAATTAAATATAGCATGAACTCTATTAAGGAACAGATTATAACTATAATTAAATGAAGTCATGCTGGTTTTTCAAAACAGGAAATCAGAAAGCATGTTCTAAGAACAACAGATGAAAAACAGGTACAGGATGCAAAACTCAAGAGGTCCTTCATCCTTATTCAGCTTCAGATCCTTTACAGTGGTGCCCCGCAAGACGAATGCCTCGCAAGACGAAAAACCCGCTAGACGAAAGGGTTTTCCATTTCGGAGGCGCTTCGCAAGACGAATTTCCCTATGGGCGTGCTTCGCAAGACGAAAACGTCTTGCGAGTCTCGCCATTTCCCCCCCGCTTTCCCCCCCTTTTTCAAAGCCGCTAAGCCGTTAATAGCCTTTTAACAGCTTAGCTGCTAAGCCTTTAATAGCCGCTAAGCCGCTAAATCGCTAATAGCGCTAATCCGCTTAGCCGCTAATGGGGTTGCTTCGCAAGACGAAAAAACCGCTAGACGAAGAGAATCGCGGAACGGATTGTTTTCATCTTGCGAGGCACCACTGTATTTGCATTGTATGTTAAATATCTGAAACTGAATAAGCAAAAATTCAAATATATTTTGATAACTAAAGTTTAGCTGTTTGGTTATCAAAAAATTATCCTATGTGAACTGCCCTAAGATTAATAATGATAATAATAATTTATTCAGATGCTTTCGGAATACGCAGGCATAAAGCTTACTTAAGTACATACACAAAGTTACATGGTTTTTCATAAGCCTTACAAGTTGAAGGAACCCCCTCTCCCCCACCCCTTTAAACACACAACAGGGCATTCTCTAAATAACAGTGCATTAAGTACATTCTACAATTTATGGAGACATATATTACACTTGAGTCCCCGTTTTGTGTATAAAATCAACAAAGCAAAATTCATGCTATAAGCCTGTCAGAGATGTATTCTATCAGTCTTTGATAAAGAACTGCACTCAAATAACTGCGTAACAAGTATGTCTAGATGAACCAATACCCCAATTTCTTTTTCTGAACTGCAGTCATGAACAATAAAGGTTGTTCGGGCAGTGATTTGATTACAAAGGCAAACCACATTGAAGTTTTATTACAATCAAGTGGTATATGAATCTAGTTAGTTAGTTAAAGGTAAAGGGACCCCTGACTGTTAGGTCCAGTCACAGATGACTCTAGGGTTGTGGCGCTCATCTCGCTCTATAGGCCGAGTAGCCGGCGTTTGTCCACAGACTGCTTCTGGGTCATGTGGCTAGCATGACTAAGCCGCTTCTGGCGAACCAGAGCAGCGCACGGAAACGCCGTTTACCTTCCCGCCAGAGTGGTACCTATTTATCTACTTGCACTTGACGTGCTTTCGAACTGCTAGGTTAGCAGGAGATGGGAATGAGCAATGGGAGCTCACCCCATCGCAGGGATTCAAACTGCCGACCTTCTGATCAGAAAGCCCTAGGCTCTGTGGTTTAGACCACAGCACCTAGTTAGTTAGTTAGTTAGTTAGTTGAATGAATGAATGAATGAATGAATGAATGATTTTTAGAAGATACAGAAAGGACGAGGGGGAGACCAGTTATATCTGAGCCTTCCATCAGCAGAAAGGCTCCTGAAGCTTATGGAATAAATTTGGGGGGCACACACAGCAGGTTGCAGGGAAGTAGAATAGGCAAAAACTGCTTCTCTCCCCATTACACTGTACAAAAGAGCTATTCATAAGCACAAAGAATGTCATTGGATACAACCCATTGTAACTGCAATACAATGCCAGTGGAGCTGTACCCTCAAGTCAGCATAATGAAGGAATTGCCAATTTTTGGAGGCCTATGGACATATATCTGCAAACTGGAAAAAACTGTTGTTAGTGCCATATACACTACTATCTATATTAATGGTTACAATACAATGTTTCCTCCAAGTCTAATTTCAACTGGGACACATGCACAGTGGGCACCTGGGAAAGCCTCTGTGAGTGCATGTGTGCCTGTGGGTACCAAATTCCTGGCATAATGGAAAGCAGCGGATCTAGCTCAAGGCCAGTGGATCATCTTTTACCATTTATACAGTGTTTTTATTTAAATAAATTAAACCAAAAACCAAAAATACAGCCACTGCCCAAAAGGTTACAAACCAGTAAGATGAAAACATAAAACAGGATATGGCAAGAAATAGGAAAGATTTTGGTTGCTTTCTGGCCTGCCCCCACATGCAGTGTTGATTTATTTCATTTGCGCAGAGGTACAAAGAAAGTAGGATACAGTGGAAGAGCTTCTGTTGTATCTTTCCTTCACCAAAACCACAGTACAAGTGAGAGAGATCCTAAGGGATGGGGCACTCCTGATAAAATGATTTTTGTATTCTTAATCCAAAATGTAAAAACTAAAATACAAAGAGGAACTAGATACAATTTATTTAAAAACAAATTAAGGAAGGCAAAAAAATAGGATAGAAACACATGGATCAGAAATGGCTAAATGGGAATGAGAGGTTTCAGATATCAGAACTCATCAATGCCTCATTAAGAGATGGGGGGGGGTACTTCCTGTACTTCTGAAGGAGTCAGTAGTGAAACCATTGTCTGAAAAGCCTGGTCAAGATTCCTTGGCTTTGGGGAATCCATTCAGTCCCAAACCTACAATATTTGAACAAGGTATTGGAGGACACCAGTTATTAGTTCTATTCCAGGCCAAACTTAGAGAAAACCTGCCTCAAATGACTTTAACCCACAGAGGATGATAGAAAGCCCAATGGGACTTAAAGGCACAATCTTTCCTAGGAGGACAGACCCAGAAGGTGGTACTAGGGGACTTTCATTCTTCATTCTTTGGCCACTGAAATTTCTAGTGCCTCAAGTTCTTTCTTCTCCCTCATGCTTATCAACATTTATATGCAATACATAGGCTTGGGCTGATAGCGGCTATCAGAGGAAGCAGTACTTCTCTTCCCTACCACCTAATATGATAGTTTCAACGCTAAACAAGTGTCTTGGGTTGATAGCAGGCTGCATGAGAGCTAACAAGATGAAGCTTCATCCACATAGAATGTTATGGCTTAGGAAACATGCTAATTTTGATGGAGGCTGAGATCTGACTTTGGCCTCAGTACTATCTATTGAGGCACTGGTGGTGCTGGTTGCTAGGAGTGGTTTTTTAGCAGTTTAGGCTGGTTCAGCAACTATGGCCATACCTAGAGAAAGCTGACTTTGTGGCTTAGCTGACCTAGCCACATTGATGCATGCCTTGACTGCATACATTACTATACATACAGATTACTATAATGCACTGTATGTTGTTCCCTCCCTTGAGTGTGCAGATTATAGAACAACAAAAACAACAACAATTTATTTGTACCCTGCCCATCTGACCGTGTTGGCCCAGTCACTCCAGCATATATAAAAACATAGTAAAACATTAAACCTTAAAAAGTTTCCCTATACAGGGCTGCCTTCAGATGTTTCCTAAATATATATATACAGTGGTACCTCGGTTTACGAACTTAATCCGTTCCCGAAGTCCGTTCTTAAACTGAAACCATTCTTAAACCAAGGTGCGCTTTTCCTAATAAGGCCTCCTGCCGCCAGTGCCCTTCCACATTCAAATTCCATTATTAGACCGAGGTAAAGTTCGCAAACCGGGACACTACTTCCGGTTTTGCGGAGTTTGTAAACTGAATCATTCGTAAACAGGACTGTTCTTAAACTGAGGTACCACTGTAATTACTCATCTGCTTGACATCTGATGGGATGGTATTCCACAGGGTGGGCACCACTACCGAGAAGGCCCTCTGCCACATAAACACAGCAGCAACCATCCAAATTATACTGGGGTTTGAATGATCAAGTTCTACTAAAGGTCTAGGTAAATAAGATACATTTTTACGTGACAGGCTGAACAACCCTGAGAACACCTGTGCCTTGAAGGGGAGAGAATTCCACTGTCAGGTGAGAGACAAGGAAGGCTGACTTCCATGAACCACACTATGAACTCTGCTTGCTGGTGAGACTAAAAGACTCCCTCCACCCATCTCTATCTAAGGGCTTGCCCTGCCGCACTTATGCAAAGTCTAAACACCTCACTTCAGTTCCACGCACGCACGTGGGCAACCATGTGCAACCCCCCACGTGGACTGCCATAGTACAACCCACATGCCTTTTCCTACTTGCAGAATTAGCAATCCTAAAACGTACCCATAAAAGGCGGATACAAGTACGTTGTTGTTGTTGTTGTTACTGTATTTGAAGTGCAGCCAATCCATATTCTAGTTACTGAAGAGTTCGGAAAACTATTCGCATACGTTGTAATCTATTACTAACCCCACCCCCGTCTCCCTTCCATGGACAAGTATCTCTGCCACCCCGATACATTCATTTTGGTCAGTCAGCCCCCCTCTATTTCCTTCCGATCTCCTCGCTCGGCCCGATACTTCTCTCTCAAAACATGACTCACGCAGATAGAAATTCGCAGCACGCCACGCTGGTAATCCTTGTACAGCTCAGGAGCCTTCCTACTGCACTCAATGCACCTATAAGCTCCGGGTTCTTCCATCTCCCTCGGGAGCCCTGAGCCGCAAGATCCCGTTGCCACAGAAACGGCCGTCCCCTCTCCTCGGCCTCGTTCACTTCCGGGTTCCGCGAGCAGAGGCGGGGAAACAGGAGCAGCCGCAGAGCATCTTGGTCTTCGTGGTTCACGAGCCTCTCGAAGCTACGTGGAGACCCGGCGGATACAAACTACAATTCCCAGAAAGCAACCCGGTCCACCCTTTCCTCGCCGGGTCCCAAAGCAAAAGAGGGAAACGCAAAAAAGTTAAGTTGCTGTGCGCAGGCGCGCTGGGAAGATGGCACCTGCCGCTGCGTTCGGGGGCCGTTGGCCAAGTGTCAGTGCGCCGTCGGGGCTGCTCTCGACGCTGCTGTGGCTGCTGGCGGCGACTCAGCCGGCGCTCGCCCTGACGGAGCAGTACCCGTCGTTATCGCTTCTTAGGCAGGAGCCACGCTGTCAGCAGGGCCAAGGGAGCAGAGGCTGCCCGGAGTTCCTGGCGGCTGAGTGGGGAGGGGAACAGTACGCGGCGGCCGCAGCCGGCGACTGTGGTGAGTGACGGGAGGGAGGGAGGAAAGAGCCAGCGGCGGTTGCTCGGCTTTCTGGCGCGGAGGGGGAACCACGCCGCCGCCCTCCTCCCTCATGGGGTCCTGCCTGAGGCGGCGGGATCCTGAGGTGGCTGAGTGGGATGTACCATTTCAGGGCGCAGGTGGGGGGGGGGGAGAGATAAGAAGCTCTCTCAGCCCAACAGGCAGAGGGGTCTCTGCTAGACCCTTCCATGCTTTGCTTTGGCTCTTATCTACCTAGAGGACCACCCCACCTCCCAGCAATTTCATATTCCGCGCCTGCATTTTGAAGTGGTACAGCCCGGCTCTCCGCCTCCTTATGACTTGACACTTCATTCCGCGGCATGTGTGGACCGGGCCTGAGGGGAGGAAGGGCAGGGCGCGCCCTTCGCTTCTCTTTCCGAAGTGTGCTCCGCTCCGCTTGCTTACCCTCGAAGGGAGAGGCGGCAAGTCTCGGCTGGCTAGAAAGCGCTTGTGTTGAGTGATGAGCTGCTGCTCCTGCTGCTGCTGCCGCCGCCTCCTCCTCTCCCAAGGGGCCAAGCCGGCTCGTGCAAATTCACCTGTCAAGTTCTTTTGAGGAGCGGCGGAGAAGCGGAAAGCTCTTCCTGACTCTTCGCTTGCTGCGCTCTGCAGAGTGTCATAAACCGAAGCCGAGTCCCTGCCCTGAGGCGCTTTCAATGGAGCGAAATCCAAGTAGGTGCACTTTAATTTGCCCTTGCCTTCCCCTTCTGATGTTTCATTGCGGGGACCTAGTATACAGTTAAACAGCAGCAGCAGAAGGGGAAGGCAAGGGCAAATTAAAGTGCACCTACGTACTTGGATTTCGTTCCATTCAAGAGCAAGGAACTAAAGTTTCCTTGCACATTTTACCTCATCTAGATGCACACCTAAACATGTAGAGTGAATGCAGCATGAGTGTTCTTTATTTACCGCATTTCCCCGTGTATAACATGCCCCTGTGTATAACACGACCCCTATTTTTTGGGACTCCAAATAAAGAAATCCCCCATATGCACTATCCGTGTTATACTTGAAAAAATAGGGGGGAAATATAGTCTTATACATGAAAAATATGGTATGTTTAGCAGTTGTATGGCATCCCATAAGAACAAGGTGCAATATTTGAACGATTACCCTAGAAATGTTCTTTCCATGTGAACTGTTGTATAATTAGCACTGCCTTCCTTAGTGTCCAAATTCTGTAGCCGTTTTAAGCTGAGCATACCAATTAACCGTGAAAATGTTTCCATTTTAGAGTCTTCTTTTTTGCACTTTCATGACTCAGACTGTGAACTACAAAGGTCTCCCTCTTGTGAATCCCTGCTTTCCCTCAATACTGAAAAACTTTTGGTATGTTTATATGTTCACTGTGTATAGCAAGGAGTCTGCTGATGAATTTTTGCTGAAGTGACATATCTACTACAATGATCATAATACTTAAGAAATGTATTTATCAATCCAAAGGAAAGGAAATCAAATTTATTAGATTACATACACTATTGAAGACTGCAGATGTTAAGATGCTAACAGTATTTGAACTATGAATATCACTGAAACTATAAATATTTTAACTTGTTTTAAAGAATACATGTTATTTTCCAGATCCATTAAAACCAACTGTTCTTGCTTTATCTGGTGTTAAATTTTGATGTGATAAGCACTTTGGACCCAATCTAGCTAAGCATTTTTAAGTCACATGATTTCCGTGATAGAATTAAGTCTTTGCTTGACACTGTTGCAGGGAAGTCATTGAGACTTAATTTAATTTTGGTTTGTTCATGCCCTCAATTTTTATTTTGGTGGTGTTAGTTTAATTTGGTAAATGTTTTTCAGAGTCAAGCAAAGTCACTTGCAGAACAAAAAAGATTTCCATTTGCCACAGATGATGACAATACCAATGAAGAATTAGGTAAGAGGTTCTGTGTGTGGTTGGTGATCAGTAGTGGCTATATATAGTTAAATTATATCACTTACGAGTGCTGCAAAATGTTCTGAATATAGTGGTACTGAGATCTAATAATCCTAATTCATTTTTAAATACTTGACCATGACTGTCCACAGAATAAAATTAAGATGAAGAGCATTAGGTTGTATTCAGTCCTGTCTGTGTGTGAGTGGACCGGACTATTATTTATACAGTGAGACTTCATGGTCCCCTCATCCCTCTTCACTCTGCCTTCCTGGCAGCCCTCCACATGCCTGAAAAATCTGCTCTAGAAGGTTGGTGTGCTGGAGGATAGATTTTGGAGGATGGTGAAATTTCTGTCACAGGTTTGGAAGGCTGCTTGTGGAACATTGGATTCTGCCCATTGACACTTATAAAATAATTCATTTTTGCATTCTGTCCTCTTAACCTGAATTCTCCAGTGTTATGCTCATGCTGAGTCTTTATGTAATAATTATTGTGGGTAGGTTCACACATGCTGTTGGATGTGTTAACCATTTGACTTTTATCTTATCTTTATAGTAGAGATAACCACATAGGTGAAACACAAACACAGGCCTGCACATGTGAATCCAGCTTCACTTTTAACCTGTCACCAATCTTGCTTGTTCCAGCTGGTTATAGCATCCATCCTGGAGTTGGTCTTCTAGTCTAGTGGCATTGCACTCCCACCCTGTCATTATCCTGTGAGCATTTTTATTTACACATAACACTGGACTTCTCTGCTTTCAGTGGTATTTTAGTCAACTAGTTGTAAGTATGTCTACTTGGAAGCAAGTCCACTGACTTCAGTGGGACTTATTCCCAGGTAAATGTTTATAGACTTGCATTCTGGAGCAGATTACAGGGCTCACAGGGGATGTACAGGCAGGGAAGGTCCACTGCACAGCTAAAACTCATTGCAGTAGTGATGCTGTTTAATGGAAAACCACATTAAAGACTTAAAGACACAGACTTTAAGATGGAGTGACTTTCCAGTCTTTCTCAGTCCTATGTGGAGAAGCCAGGTTAATAGCTTTATTGAATATTTCTATGGCGATCCAGATTGCCTCTTTGCACTTCAGTTACCCCCATAGATGCCAGAGATTGAATCTGGGACCATTTACATGGGTGGGATTGGATTGTTTTTCTTTGTTACTTATTGCCGCCAAGTGGAAATTTTAAATTACCTTAAAGTGTACAGTGATGCAAAGTGTGGTTTCAAGCCTTGGGCTACTCTTTACAGGAAAAAATCATTGAATATTTTAAATGTTGATACTTTAATGAAACTATTTCCTGATTATTATGTTGTAGTATTTGATAGCTTATGAAATAACTTCTTTTTGAAACTCTGTTTTCAGAAATCATACCCCTCAATTAAACCCTTTGGCAGGTATTCAGCAATTCTTATATGCATGGCAAATGTGGAATTCATAACACTAACCCGTAACACTATTTTGACAGCTTTCGCTTATGTATTGATTGGCAGTGGCCTTTATGATGAAGCTGTGCGGCACTTCTCCACAATGCTCCAGGTGATTTTTCACTCCTATTACATTGTAGTTTTAGACTTAGATAATAGAACTCCCCAAGGTAGAATGCCTGCCTTCCTAGAGAAGAGTGACAGATGGCAGAAAATGCTTAGCCTATGGGTAGGCAAACTAAGGCCTGGGGGCTGGATCCGATCCAATCGCTTTCTAAATCCAGCCCATGGACAGTCCGGGAATCAGCGTGTTTTTACATGAGTAGGATGTGTCCTTTTATTTAAAATGCATCTCTGAGTTATTTGTGGGGCATAGGAATTTGTTCATATATTTTTTTCAAAATATAGTCTGGCCCCCCACAAGGTCTGAGGGACAGTGGACCGGCCCCCTGCTGAAAAAGTTTGCTGACCCCTGGCTTAGCCTATATACTGTAACATAATTGAAGATGGATGGATGGAATGGAAACTTGAATCTATAAAAGGGAAATGGGCCTGAGGCAGAACTCCTTGAAGGTAACAGAGTTAAAAATGTAAACAGAAGGATATCGGTTGATGTGAAGAGGGATATGACTGTTATGGAAATGTTACATGGGGAGGCAACTTAGCTTAACTTGACATGCAGCTTCTTGGGGTCTTGATAGGAAAATTTCACAAACTATAATTGAGCAGGCATGTCTACTCTGAATCACAGCCCAATATGATTACACTATTGTAAAGGTTCAGGCTGGAAGGTTTTGGTAGGAGGACAGTGTTAAATTCCTTGGTCCATTAACTGCTGCAAGTCCCAAACTAGACATGACATGTGTGTCCATGTATGATTTTGAGTGGGGAAAATGGCTGGCAGAGAAAGAGTTCAATAGCGCTACTATTCTTCTACTCAAATTCACAGCCACCTAAAGCTGATTTTGGTGGCAGTGGGAAATGTCAGCAGAACTTGGCACATCACAGCAGTTCAATTCCTTCAGGGTCAAACTACAGTGGTACGTCGGGTTACATACACTTCAGGTTACATACGCTTCAGGTTACACACTCCCCTATCCAGAAATAGTACCTCGGGTTAAGAA